GGGGGCGCCGATGCTGGGCAGCTGGACCTGGTAGATCAAATTGATCAGCGAAACCTCCTCCGTGCCAAGGAGTACCTCGAGTTCTTCCAGAGTAACCCCATGAACAGCCTGCCCCCCGCGGCCGCCGCTGCCGCCGCCGCCGCCGCCAGCTTTCCGTGGTCGGCCTTCGGCGCATCCGACGACGACCTGGATGCCACCAAGGAGGCCGTGGCCGCCGCCGTGGCCGCCGTGGCTGCAGGCGACTGCAACGGCTTGGACTTCTACGGGCCTGGCCCCCCGGCTGAGCGGCCCCCGGCCGGGGATGGGGACGAGGGCGACAGCAACCCGGGCCTGTGGCCGGACCGGGACGAGGACGCCCCCGCCGGGGGCCTCTTCCCTGCCTCCGGGGCCCCTCCCGCCGCCACGCAGAACGGCCACTATGGCCGGGGCGGGGAGGAGGAGGTCTCGCTGTCCGAGGCAGCCCCGGAGCCCGGGGACTCTCCCGGCTTCCTGTCGGGCACAGCCGAGGGCGAGGACGGCGACGGGCCCGACGCGGACGGGCTGGCGGCCAGCACGCTGCTGCAGCAGATGATGTCGTCGGTGGGCCGGGCCGGGGCGGCGGCGGCGGACAGCGACGACGAGTCGCGGGCAGACGACAAGGGGGTGGTGGACTACTACCTGAAGTACTTCAGCAGCGCCCACGACAGCGACGTCTACCCGGCCTGGTCGCAGAAGGTGGAGAAGAAGATCCGGGCCAAGGCCTTCCAGAAGTGCCCCATCTGCGAGAAGGTCATCCAGGGCGCCGGCAAGCTCCCGCGGCACATCCGGACCCACACCGGGGAGAAGCCCTACGAGTGCAACATCTGCAAGGTCCGGTTCACCAGGTGAGCCGCCGCGGCGCCCGGGGGGGGGGGGGGGGGGGCGCTTCCTGGGTCCTTGGCTCAAACTGCAGCTGCGTGTACACACACACACACACACACACACACACACACACACACACGCACGCACGCACGCACGGCCTCTGGGGACCTCAGCAGCAGCGTATTAATTGGGGGTGCCTCCCCCCCAGCGTGTCCCTGCAGAGCAGCCTTTGGTGCAGGCACTGAACCATAGGGCCACAGAGCTCATGAAGTGTGCCCGGCGGTGCTCCGGGAGGCCGGAGGGGAGCGCCAGATCCGCGGCTCTTCCGGCCGGAGGAGAGTTTGCTTTGGGAGAGGCCTTCAGCCTCGTAGGGAGCAGGGAGCTCGGTGGTTTTGAGCCACTTCAAGTCTCCTGTGCGTCTGGAAGCTTCCTTCGTTGAGCCAGCGTTCTGGGCCACCCGGGTCCCAGGCCCTGTCCTAGGCGCTGGAGAGGCAGAAGTGGAGAAATAGGCCAAAATCCCCACGGACAAAGCATGCGTGAGATAAAATCAAAGGACTGATAACACTGGTTGGTGGAACGGGAAGAGAGAGAGAACAAAGGGAGGGGAAGAGCTGCTTTAAACAGAACTGAGACCTGAAGGAGGCGAGGGAAGAGTCGGGGGAAGGGACAGGCAGAGGGAACAGCCGGTGCAAAGACTGAGACCAGTTCAGCTTGGAGAATCACTGCAGTCGGGAGGGATTGGCACAGGAGCCCCTGAGCTTGGTCCTTGGGCAGGGGTTTGAGGTCGGGCTGGGGAAATTTGTGAATTGGTCTTAAAAGTCCAGAGGTAGCTGACTGGGCCTTGTGGGCCAGTCTAGTGGGGGTGGAAGGGTTGATGTGCAGGGGCCTGGCCAGGCTGGGTGACTCAGCACCACCCCCTACCCCCCACCCACCCTGGGGTTCCCCCAGCCACACCCACCCAGCCTGAAGAAAGAAGGCATTGTCCCAGCTCCCAGCTCTGCCCCTTGGGGATAGGACCTGGCGGCTGACCCCTGGCCCCCTCTCCTGCAGGCCAGGAGAGGAGGGTGTGGCCTGGAGTGCAGGGCCCAGGAGTGTCAGGCAGGGGGCAAAGGACAGCTACCAGAGGCAAGCGGCGTATCTGGTGGCCTGGCTCACCCCTTTGGCGAGATTGTGGTTCTTTTAGTTTTGGGGGCTCCGTCCTCCTCCAGATGGGGCACGGAGATGGCTATGGGTCTCTGCACCCGAGAGGAACAGCTTTGTGAGGGCTCAGCAAGAGGTGGCCAGGCTGACCTGTGACCCCTACCACCAGCCTCGGCTATTTCAGTCTGACCTGGAGTTCTCTTGGCCATCCTATTCCCAACCCAGGGCCGATCCCATTTGCCAGTCAAGGAAACCGAAGCATGGAGGTACCAGGCCAAACCTGTTTCCCCCATGCGCCCACCTGGCTGCTCTCCGTCCCTGACCCGGGGCCCCAGCCCCCACCCCTTCCTCCAGGCCCAGGAGCCCAGAGGCCCCTCTGAGTCACATAGAGAGTTGAGTAAGCAGGGCCTGTGGCGGCGGGGCTGTAATTACGCTGGCCAGGGTTTGGGGTGATGAAACTGGAGCTGACTCCACCTCGCAGCCCCTGGCCCGCTGTGCAGCTCGGTGCAAGTCACTTCCCCTCTCTGAGCCTCGGCTGGGGAATCTGTGTTCCGCTAGCAGGATGGGAGCCCCTGCTGTCCCTTCTGTGACCTGGCCCCGCAGTGGTCTGGGCCCGGCGCCTGGGAGGCTTGGTGGAGCCCGGGCAGGAGGCCGGTTGTCCTCCGATGGATGAGAAGAGGGATTCAGAGAGGTTCCGCTTTTGCCCAAGACTATTCAGCAAGCAGCGCCCAAGGCCCTTTTCAGGCCTTTGAGCGGCCTCTGGCCCCTTGTCCCCTCTGCCCAGGACTATCCCCAGCTGCAGCCTGCCTTTCGGTCCTAGTGTCAGCCTCCCGGCCAGCAGGAGTTGGGGGTTGTCCGGGAAGGGGCCTAGCACAGCACCCGCTGACCCTTGCCCCCTCCACAGGCAGGACAAGCTCAAAGTGCACATGCGGAAGCACACAGGTGAGAAGCCGTACCTCTGCCAGCAGTGCGGGGCCGCCTTCGCCCACAACTACGACCTAAAGAACCACATGCGCGTGCACACCGGCCTGCGGCCCTACCAGTGCGACAGCTGCTGCAAGACCTTCGTCCGCTCCGACCACCTGCACAGACACCTCAAGAAGGACGGCTGCAACGGCGTCCCCTCGCGCCGCGGCCGCAAGCCCCGAGTCCGCGGCGGGGGGCTCGGGGGGCCCGACCCTGGCCCCGGGGCCGCGGCCCCGCCCGGCGCCTCCGCCCCGCCCGGCTCCCCCGAGGCCCGGCGCAACGGCCAGGAGAAGCACTTTAAGGACGAGGAGGAGGACGAGGAGGCGGCCAGCCCCGACGGCCTGGGCAGGTTGAATGTAGCGGGTGCTGGTGGAGGGGGCGGGGACGGGGCCACTGGGAACCCTGCCGACGGCAGCTTTGCGGCTGGACTCGCCTGAAAACCAAAAAGAGAAGAAAAACCCGAGAGAGACAGAGAGAGAGAGAGAGAGAGAAAATCACCCCCCACCCCCCAAAAAACACAAAAAAAACTATCTATATACAGATATCTATATCGATATATATATATACAGATATATATATATATATATATATATGAAGCATCACAGAATCTAGGATAGTGCTTTTCTCAGATTTTTCTCTTTCATGAAGTTCTCTCCCTCCATGGGGACTCTTGCCCTCTCCTCCCAACTCCCCTTTCTCTCCACCCCGTCGATGAGTTTCGGGGCTTGGTTTGGGGTTTGGGGGACACGGGTTCTGAGTCCCCCCCTCCTCCCCACTGGGCGCCCCCGGCAGGGTCCCAGGTCCCGGGCAGGGACGAGGGCTGTTGTGGAGGGAAGGGTTGAGGCAGGACTGGGGTGGGCTTTAGTTTTTCTCCCCTTGCTGGTTTCTATGAGTCTTTCAGACAAGACCTTAAATAATTTCTGTCTGCTGTGAGCGGACGTTAAAATAGTCCCTGAACCTACCCCCACCCTCCTTCCTCAGGGCACTTATTAAGTGGGGGTCTGCCCCCTAGATCTCCCCGTAGGCTCTTTGCCTCCTATCCTTGCCTGTGGTCCCCTTATCTCCTGGCCACTGCGACACAAACCTATTTATTTCCACGTGTGGAGAAAGGGGGGACGACAGGGAGAGGGGGCACCAGGATGGCTCCCAGGGGCTTCTGTTGCCTTCCTCCATGGCACTTAAACCCATGGGGGCACCCAGGGGCCACCTCTCAGAGCGCCCCATCACCCCTGTCTGTGTCCCCATCCCAGGTCCTTCAGACCCAGTTGAAGTTTGGAGATTCAAAACTTGTCTTCACCCTCTCCCAACTTTAAAAGCACTTTTTAGATGGTTTCCCCCTCTTCCTCCTTAAAAACAAAATTTATATATATATATAAAGAGAGATATATATAAGATATGACTTTTCCTCAGAGGAGCAGACAGCAGTGTGGGGTGAGACAGCCAAGGGCAGAGGGAACCCAGGGTCTTACGGTGGCAGGGAAGCGGGGAGAGAAGAGTCCAGAAGTTCCAATGTCACAAAAGCAATAAGATTTTACAAAACGAAAGGAAACAAAACAAAAAAATGACAACCAATCACAAATAGAAGTCTTGGCACTTTGTAACAGAACGGGTACTATACTTTATCTTAATTTAAAAACATGTTTACAAGTTGCAACCAACTTCTATGAAAAGTTGAAAAGACAAAAAAAAGAGAGAGAGAGAGAGAGAGAGAGAGAGCGAGAGTGTAAACAGAAATTACTAAAAGCTGATTTATTTTTGTACAAAATAATTAAAAAACCCACCCTGGATGTAGAATCCAATTCTGTGCCCCAGGTGAGAGGGAGTCAGGAAGGCCGTGGGTGACGTGGGTGAGGCCAAGGTCTTCTGCATGAATCTGCTTCACCGTGGGGGCTTGCCTGGCAGGCAGGACTGGGTTTTGTATTTCTGCCATGTCCCCCACTCCCTCCCATTCTGCCCCTTTTTGGTTCTGATTTAGAGATGTCTCATGACCCACTAGCCATACAATGGCCACCCATGTCTGTGGGGACCCTCCTTACTGACTCCCTAGCTCAGGGATGGGCCCAAGAGAGGGCTGGCCTTTCAACCAGCCAGAGCAATCCAGTTCCCCCCAACCTACCCCCTCCTCACTGTTCCCCCATCCTCACCCCTCCCTGGCTTCCCGCCTTTCCTTGTGGCCACTGAGGAGCTGCCATCTTGGATATGCCATCCCCTTTGAGGTGGGTGACAGGGGGCCCCACCTCCAGGGCCTTATACCCCCCAAAGCACCCCTGTTTTTACTCAAAGGCACTGACTGTCATCTGGGGGCTGGCACCTGGCCCCCCAAAGGCTCGGTGTTGACTGAGCCACAGGCCACGGACGGGGGGCCAGAGCAGGGAAACCAAGTTGCCAGAGGCCAGGGCACCTTCACCCCCTCTTGCATATGCAACGCCTAGTGTGGGACCCTGTATATAGACTTCCTGCTGAGCTGAATCCTTCCTCCTCAATGCCCAAGGTCGGGGCGCCCCTGCTCCCCCCTCTGGTGGCTGGCCGTCTCCTGGTAGCCTTTTGCTCTGTGATAGACCCCATCTTATCTCTTTTTTCGTTTTCTTTTTTTAAAGGGAAGCTTTTTAAGAAAGCAGCTTTCACCATTGTTTCTACAGGATATGTTCCGTCTCCTCCCGGCCTCCACCAGCCCCCCAAAAGTCTCAGGAACCCCCCTCCTGAGGGGGGTGGTAGGGGAGCCCAGGGCCGGTGGCCTTGTTCGTACCCCAGCATCACAGGGTGAGATTTGGAGAACCATCTGCAGAGGCCAAGCAGAGCGCTTGAGCACCCAGGCCAGGGGCTCCGCCCGGCTTTCAGAGAGGCCCCCTTCCCACACACCTCCTTGCAATAAAACCAACTGAAAAATCATAGCCGTCGTCCTGGCCAGTGGGGGTGACGACTTGGGGAATTGAGGCCTCTGGGACTATGGTGGGGGCATGGGCTGAACCCCGCCAAGCACACTTTAACACAAAGCTCCTTGGGAATTGCACTAAACCCCTACCCCTAGCTCTGCACCCAGCTTTCACCAGCCCTGCCCACCCACTCCGCCTTAACCCTATTCTGCTGCCCGCCAGCCTGTCCCGGGGGCCACAGCCTCTGCATGGGCCCAGAGCCGGGACCCCCCCCCCCCCCCAGCCGGCCCAGTCCCCTAACTCCGCGCAATCACATACTGTATATAGATGTGGATCGATTTTATTTTTATTCTTTAAATTAAGGTTGTGATAAAGTGTTGCCAAAGATACTGCTGAATTCTCGCGTTTCAGGAAACAAATATTTGAGGGGGAACGTGCTGACTGGTCGGAAAGGACAGCAAAAAAGTGTTTTTGTTTGGTTGTTTGGGGTTTTCTTTGGTGTTTTCTTTCTTTGGGGTGTTTTTTTTTTTTTTTTTTTTTTTTTAATTGCCTGGTACAAAAAAGAAAAAAAAGACAAAGTGAAATTGTTATTTCCATCATCTTGGTGAAATTGTGTGGATGTGTGTGTGCGCATGTGTGCGAGAGTGAGGTCTAGGCTGGGGACTTGTGATGGAGGCTGTTGCGGGGAGCTCGGGGGCAGGAGTGGTGGGCCTGGCAGGATGGGGGGCCCTGAGCCCCCACCTGGATCAGTCTCCAGCCTGCCAGACTGGGGGAGAGAGATAAATGTTCTTGCTGCTGCTCCCTGCCTAGTCCCCCACCCTGACCCCGACCCTGCCTTTTGAGATTAAAAGAAAAAAAAAAAAGAAAAAAAAGGCAAAAAAAAAAAATTAAAAACCAGTGAATGTAAAGTGCCGGACCAGGCCCAGCCTGGCATGGGTGTGGGCCTTGCCCAGCCGGGCTCCAGTGGGCCATACCAAAGTCTGCCCTCTTGGGCAGCCCACCCAGGAGACCCCATGTGGCCATCTCTTCTTGTCACCCTGTTTGTACAGGGCTGTCCCTCTGCTTCCTTCCGAGGGGGGTTCTCAGGTTGGAAGGGAGGGGCCCCAGCTCCCACCTGGGTCTTCTGGGGAGTCTGCACTACTGAGACCCATCAGCTGTGTCGCACATGGTGGGACCGAGGCAGGGGCCAGGGCCCCCAGAACCGAGGCCATCCAGGCAGCCAGGATTGTAGGAGGTGAGACAGAGACTGAAAGGAAAAAAAAAATTTTAAAACCAACAAAAAAAGCAAAAATCCTATTTTTTGAGAAAGAAAGATATTTATATTTGCAGTTTTATTTTAAAAAGTTATTTAAGCTGAGGAAGCAGCCTTCCTGGAACGGTGGTGTTGGCCGGTGCACGACGGGTCGGCCTGGGTCTTGGGCGCCCAGGAGTCATAACCTCAGAGTTAAGACTATCTCGCACTAAATATATGCATTTACATGGAGGTGGGTTGGGGCAGGACCAGGAGATGAGGGGGCTGGGGAGACCCCCATTCTACGGCCAGGGCTGCCTGGAGGCCAACGGCCAGGGGTCCTGTGCCAGGTACCCTCAACCCCCGCCCCCAGGCTCAGACATGAGGTGCCTTGGACTTTGGGGGACCAGGCCTGGTGAATAAGGGGTTGGCGGTGGCGCCCCCGGGGGCACAGAGCACAGACATTCCATAGACTGTATTTGAGAGTCTTTATAAAATGTGGGAGATTTAAAAAAAAAAAAAATGGTAAAATGCACTTTTGGGGGGTGGGGGGAGAAGCTTTAAAATAAAAACAAAAACAAGACGAAAGATGAAAACACGGACATAAAAATCATTTTTCTTGTACATAAAAACCACTAAACGCAGCCTGTTACGACCGCTGCTGCCTCATTTGCCTGATTTTGATGTTCTTGTGTTTTGTTTTGGGGGGGAGCTTGGGGAGTGGGTGTGGAGGGTCTAGGGGCTCCTTCTCCATGGGTTGGGTCCCTTGTTTGTAGCACTTGGGGGTTCCAGACAGAGGACCCGATGCTGGCCTCACCCTTCCTGCCAGGCCTGGGAGGTGAAGCAGGGGAGGGAGGGGTCTGGATGGTGACTCTTGCCTCTGGGCTCCAGGGTGGGGTTGGTGTCTGGCAGGGCTAGGGCCTGGCACCCCTAGGTGAGGGCAGGTGGTTCCAAGAAGGGGCCTGAGGGACAGTGGGGGAGGCAGGAAGAACCTGCTAAGCGGGCTCCTTGGCCACCTCCTACTACAAGGTTTCTGGAGGCCCTGGGTGGGGTGGCCTACACAGGGAACCCCAAGTTGCCAGGTCCTCCAAAGTGCAGCCCCCTTTTGGGCCCCATCGAAGAGCTGATCGAAGAGCTGAGCTGGCTGCTTCCTCCATATCCCCAGGGAGAAGGTTGGGCTAGGGCCCATTCACTGGGGAGGAAAAGTGTGGGCTGCAGCCCCCATCTTTGGGTTGGGGTCACCAAACATGGCCACTTACAGGGCCCTGGGGAGAACTCTCCTTGCCACCCCCCAGTTGGACTCAGGCCAGCAGCGCCCGGAGTTGGGGTGGGTGACAGTGGCTCCAGGGGACACAGGTGGCCATGGTCACAGCCTGAAAGACGACAAGCAGGACTCTGAAGTGGAATCTGTAGGGCCTGGCCTGGCCCTGGGTGGGAAGACCAAGTGCAGGAGCTGGGGAGAGACTCTGGGTGTCCTGCACTGGCAAGGTCTGCACTTGTGTGATCACATGGCAGACACAGGTCTCCAACATGGACTGGGCGGGGGGTGGGGAGGTGTTTAATGGTTCAACAGCCAGACACTGAGGGAACCTGAGCCAGCCACAAGGGGAACCGATCAGGACAGAGATGAAAGCAGGTTCAACAGCCACTCAGACCATGTGGCCTCTGCACTCACATTCCCGAATCCCCTCCCAAGGGAGAGGAGCTTTTTTGAAATCTCATTCACGTATAGTTCCCCTTTATAAAATCACCAGGTCACACAATCACCAGTAGCATATTGAAAATTATGCAGCCATCATCACCATCTCATTTCAGAACATTCCATCCCCCAGAAAGAAGACCCCTCTCTATCAGCAGTCACTCCCCTCTCCCTCCCCAGCCCCTGACACTCTAACCCACTTCCTGTCTCTGTGGATGTGCCTGTTCACATTTCACATCAGTGGGATCTCGCCGCGGTCTCCTGTGTCTGGCTTCTCACTGAGCGTCCTGTGCTCAAGGTTCATCCACGTTGTAGCGAGTGTCAGCGCCTCCCTCCTTTTCATGGCTGACTATTCCAGTGCATACATGGGCCACATTTTATCTCCAGCTGATGGGCTAATTCCCACCTTTGGCTATGGTAATGCTGCTAGGAAGACTCATCTACAACTTTTCATGAGAAGGTAGGTTTTCATTTCCCTTGGGGGGGAGGGTACATATAGTAGAATTGCTGGGTCAGATGATAACTCCATGTTTTGTTTAACCTATGAACCAGGTCACACAATTCAATTCCTGGTCAGGGTATGTGCTGGGATTGTGGGCTTGACCCCCAGTAGGGGGCATGCATGAGGCAGCCCATGGATGATTCTCATCACTTATGTTCCTAACCCTCTCAAGTCTTTTTTTTTAAAGAAATACTGATGAAAAACATCCTTGGGCTGCCTCCTGTACGCCTCCTACTAGGGATTGAGCCCACAATCCAAGCCAGTGCCCTGACCGAATAGAACGGGTGACTCATGGGTTGATGCTCAACCACTGAGCCACATTGACCGTGCTAACTTTTTGGAACTGCCAGACTTACCACAGCAGCTGCACCATCTTATGTCCCCACCTGCAATGCAGGAGTGTCCCAGTTCCTCATCCTCACCAGCACCTGTCGCTCTTAGATTCTAGCCCTCCCAGTGGTTGTGGTTTGCATCTCTCTGACAGGATGCAGAGCATCTTTTTGGGAGCCTAATGCCTGCCTCACCAGGCCCAGCAGATGGACCCCAGGGAGTTCAAAGTGAAATCCTCATTTGACCAAATGTGGTTCCTTTGAATCCTGAACATCATGCAGCAGAGAGAAAAAACTGGATGGGGAGGTGTTTTGTCATTTGGTCCCTGCCCCCAACCTGACACCTCAGACACACAGAAAAGCGGATGCCATGGTGGCTTCACCTTGACCTTTTTATTTGCATTTTTAAAAAAACAATTAAATTAGAATACAAATATTAGAAAACAGCGGCCTTCAGCTGCCAGTGCAGACTGAGGGAGGCTGGACTGCGCAACTGAGTTTATACAGTAAAACTGAATTTGCCCTCGACCAGATTTATGTCCTTTTTGTCTTTAGACCTGAAATGATATTGCTTCCTGACTAGTAGAGTTGTTTATACAAAGGAAAATTATTCTGGGGTTGGTGGGGAAGGGACAGGGAAGAGAAAAAACAAAACAGGAGGGCAGGCAGAAGTGGTCTAGGGAAGTGTGGCTTCTGAGGGGGTAAGGAAGCTGGGTGGTGGGCCAAGCACCCAGCTGCAGGTCCTGGAGGCATCTGGGGTTGCTATGGAAGCCCCATGGTTGCTGGGCCACACCCAAGGCTAACCGGGTTGCTAAAGGGTGGCCCCCAGCCCAGTCCTGTTGGAAGACGAGTATGAGGCTCCAGGGAGAGGGGCTGCAGGGCAGGCCTCGTACCCGTCGGAAAACCCAAGAGCAAGAGGGGAAGGAACCACCCCAAATTAAGAGGACGGGGCAGGAGTCCCTGCTGCCCCTCAGAGGTGGCCACCTTCCTGGCGGTGGCACCTGTGGACATCTGCACTGTTCCGTAGGGAAGTTAACCTGAATTGGAGTTACCGAGGTAGCTGGCTAAAAACTGAGACCCCCCCACGCCACACGGTGCCACACCCTGAAGCCCCCACCTCAAAGGGGGTTCTGGCCACATGCTGGGTCTTCCAAATACCAAGTTATTGCACTTTCAAAAAATACAACACATCTGTGGCTAAACCCTCCCTAGCCCACCCCCTCCCATCTGCTCATGGCTCCCATCGCCCTCCCCACCCCACCCACTCCATGGCTTCTTGGCTAAAACTCTCACTGCTCAGAGGCCCACTCAAGGGTCTCTGGGCAAGAGGACAGTTCACAGAGAGAAGAAAAGCAAAGGAAAATGAATGTCCAAGTCGTGGCTGCTGCCAGGGAGCCCCTCAGTCCTCCCTGTTGCCCCCGCCCGCCAGCCCCAGGTCCCTCTGCACCAGCTGGAATGGTTATCGGCGGAGGTGGGGCATCTGGGAGTTGCAGTGTCCTGCCCACCCCTCTTCTGGGTCTGACTCCTGCTGGGGAAACAGCTGTGTAGGTGTCTCATCTTGTTTAAGAGTTTGTTTTTTGTTTCATTTTTCTCTTTTGTACTTTTTTTTGTAATTTTACTTTTTTTTAATCCTCCAATAGGAGAGTCCAGAGGTACAGGTGCCAGGATCCAGGGAAAGGGGTGGAAAACCATATGAACAACAATAAAAAGAAAAAAAATCACTCCTCCCTCTGCACCCCAAGGCCCGCCTGCACCCCCCTGCGTGGTGAGCACCAGTAAAATTTGAGTGTCCGACCAGTTGGTGGTGACGATCGGTCAACAGGCCGACACCAGGCCCTTCTGGAAGGGGCAGCGGCGCTTGGGCCGGGGGCCATCCTCGTCCTCGTCCTCCTCATCTTCCTCTTCCTCCTCCTCTTCCTCTGAGGATGAGGAACTGTCCAGCGTGAGGTCCACCACGTCAGCTCCCAGCTTCCCATTCTCAATGCTGCCCATTGTGCCGCCCCCGCCTCCAGAGCCCCCCAGCGTGCCGCCGCCGCCGCCGCCACCGTTGACGTTGGGGCTGGCGAGGAGCCCATTGGTGTCTGAGGTGCCTGAGGGCGACAGGGACAGATGCTCAGGACTGCTGACCACCGGATGAGAAAGCGAGGGGGCAGGGGCAGGGCAGTCTCCTGATGGTGGGAAGCACCCTGTACAGGACCCGGCACACAGCAGGTGCTAAGTAACTGTGTGCTCCCTGCAGTGCAGAGCTCTGGGCCCTGGTCTGTGCCTCTGAGGGGATGGGATCCACTCCATGGGGGTGGCTGTTTTATTTTTCCTTTTCATTAAAAAAAAAATACTTTATGTATTGATTTTAGAGGAAGGGAGAGAGAGAAACATCAATTTTTGTTCCACTTATTTTTATGCATTCAATGATTCTTTTTTAATATATTTTTATTGATTTCAGAGAGGAAAAGAGAGGGAGATAGAAACTTCAATGATGAGAGAATCATTGATTGGCTGCCTACTGGGGATTGAGGCCACAACCCAGGCAAGTGCCCTTGACCAGAATCGAACCCGGGACCCTTCAGCCCGCCAGGGCCATTGGTTGATTCTTGTAAGTATACTAACTGAAGATCGAACCCATAACCACAGCATATCGGGATGACACTCTAACCAACTGAACTATCTCACCAGGGCTCCTGTGGTGTTTTTCCTTTTGGTTTTGTCTTTTTCATTTGGGGTGGCTGTGTATTAGATGAAAATGTCACAGAGCAGGACACAAGTCAAACTCAGAAACTACCAAACCCCCAGAATAGGTATTTGGGGCAAACGAAGGGTCAGTTGGGGACCGGGCCAGGAACTCACCGAGGACGAGGATGGGACACTGGGGGCTGCAGCTGCGCTCCTTCTCGGCACGGATCGGACACCATGAGCCATCTACCAGGTATTCAATTTCATCAGCATCCTCACACTCACTCAGGATCTTGGAGAGGAGCCTGGGCACGCAGAGGAGGGGAGGTACAGGAGAGCTGATTCTTAGGCCAGCTGAGCCATACCCTGCTCTGGAGTCCGGTGGGATGCTCGCTAGGCCACTTTGTTCTTTGCAAAAGAGGTTTAATGAAAGCACCAGCCAGACCCCAGTGATCTGAGTTCCTGGAGGGAGAGGGGGCCAGTGTTCCCTGCATGGGGTCTGCACAGCTAGGCCCTCTGGGAGGGTCTGCCACGTTGCTTTGAAGGCTTGCAGTCACCCACTCGTGGCACAGTGCAGGCACTCCCTCCAACGCCTTAAGAGCACGGGGCCTGGGAGGCTGGCCAAAGGAGGGTCCTGCCTACCCCTCCCCCTAACCGAGCGGCCCCCACCCTGGCATCCGAGTTTATGCTACCCCCATTTTTACAGATAAGTAAACAGGCTGGAGGGCAGCTATGTGCTGCACAGAGGCCCCTGGAGTCTGTCAGTCCCATATAGACGCATGTCTCCCAGAGTACACCCGTGGCAAACCAGAACCAGTGAGGTGTGCTCTGACCCTGGGGACTGGCTGCAAGGTAATGCCAGCCAGGCCCATTTTAAAATGGAGGACCTAAGACCTGGGGAGGAGAGAGTTCCCTGAGGCCGCAAGACCAGGTGGCAGCAGACCTGGGTTCTAGTCTAGTCCCTGCTCTCTGACACTTACTGGCCTCAGTCTCCCCCACCATCTCCAGCAGCTGGGGGGCCTGAGGAACAGTAATGCCCAGGCCAGGCCTGGTGCAATGGGTCACCATGGCCTCCAGCATTTGTTCAGTGTCAAAGTCGCACCTGCCTCCAAGTGAATTTGACCACGTAGGTCAGTCACACAGGAGGGAGGCTGTCCTGCTCCAGGACACACTCTGGAGCTGATGGGGTCCTTCCCCCCTTACCCTCTGGCCTCCCCTCCATTGCCACACTCATAGGCCCACCCCCAGGGTCACCCTTGTGTGAACAAAGCTCTCCCAGCAATGCACTTCTCTACCCGGAAAACTCCTACTCACCCTCCAAAGCCCCACTCTACAGTTCCTCTTCCTCTAGGCAGAGCATAAGCAACAGTATCTGGATCTGACTCAGTTCTCCCTGTCCCCACAGCCCAGGTGGGAGTTCCCCTGAAGACAGGGTCTGAGACAGAGTACTTTTGGGGACACCGGGATCACCCAGCTTAGGGCCAGAGAGGAACAGATGGCAGAACCTCAAAGAATTCTATATAATAAAAGCCTAATATGCTAAGTGTCTGGTCATCCAGTGACTGGTCAACTGTTCAACCAAAGCATAATATGCTAATGATATGCTAATGATCATTAGGGGGTAGACACTCCGACCAGAAAGTTAGTTTGCTGCTGGGGTTTGGCCGATCGGGACTGAGTGAGATGGGCTGGACATGCCCTAGAGCCCTCCCGCAGTCCCTCCCCAGCCGTGATTGTGTACTGGTGGGGTCCCTCAGCTTGGCCTGTGTCCTCTCACAATCTGGGACCCCTCAAGCTGGTTTCAGCCCGATCCCACAGGCCACTCCCCTCAGGAGGGTACAAGATGCAAGGCTCATGGCAAGCACTGCAGCAGCAGCATGAGCCTCTCTGGACCAGGACTGATTTGGTGCGAGGCAGGCACAGGGGCCGGGATGAGTGGGAGTGGCTGGAAGAGCTGCAGGTGGTGTTGGCCTGCGGGTTTCAGCTCGATCCCCGCAGGCCACCCCGAGGGACTCCACCTGTGCACAAATTTGTGCGCCAGGCCTCTAGTGCATATATAAACCAAAAGCCTTCCTCCAGAAGCTTCCTGGGCTACGTGAGGCCCCAGGGGCTTCTGGGATCGTGGTCTGTGTGGGGCAGAGCCACTGTCCCCAGCCCTGCCAGAGCTGCCACCACCCGAGCCTGAGTGACCCACTCTAGGCCTGTGAGGGGGAGGGGAGGCGGGTGCCGGGCTGCACAGCTGCCAGGCTGGGAACAGAGCTGCCATTCAGACCCAGACCTCACGTCCAGCCCCAGGGGCCTCCTCATTCCACCATGAGGTTGGATAGCACAGAGGGCTCTGGTTCAGCTCCTCTGGGGAGGGGATCCAGCTCAGAGTTGCCTGAATCTGGCCTGGCTACCTAAGAGCTGAGGGTCCCAAGGCAGGTGACTATCCCCAAGTATCAGTCTCCCCATCTGAAAGGAAGGGACAACTAAGGTCCAGCTCCTGCGACAGTTGGGAAGGAGGGCTTGGCAAGACCCTGAACATGGTACCTGAGATAAAAGCTTGAATGAGGGGACAAATTTGCACCCAGCCCCTATAGGTCATTTCCAACCCTACTGTGTACACACCCCAAGTTTCGAGTCCCAGCTTTCAATGGCTGGTGGGTCCAGAGCTGAGAACCAACTTCTATTTAGGCTGCCACCTCTCCTTGCCTCCATCAGACTTTGGGGACAGGGGTGGGTGTGGCCAGTGCCTGGCAGGAGCTGCTCAGTCAGGTGCTGAGCTCGGTTTCTGGAAACCCAAGACCTAAGTAAAGTTTTCCTTTTACAAAACAGCCTTTTGCCCCTTGTCCCCAAGCAGTGTGGGGACGGCCTGCTTGTTAGGCTGAGGGACAGTCTGGCCATTTTCCAGCATCATCTAGGCAGGGGCAAGGAGAATGTGACCAGAATTTGGTGGAGATGTGTGTCCTTTTCACCTTGCTATGGAGTGCATGACTAAGGTTGTACTGAACAAACTTCAGGAAGCAGCTTTGTGCATCAGACTGGAGGTAAGGGTTTCTCAGGTCCCCGTGTTATGTGCAGAAAAACTGCTCCCAAGAACACAAGGTCATCCAGGGAATAGTGGACTTCCTGGGTCCAGAGCCCCACTTCTTTTTATTTTTATTTTTTTTTAATTGATTTCAGAGAGGAAGGGATAGGGAGAGAGAGATAGAAACATCAATGATGAGGGAATCATTGATTGGCTGCCTTCTGCGTGCCTCCCACTGGGGATGGAGTCCACAACCAGACATGTGCCCTTGACTGGAATCGAACCTGGAACCCTTCAGTCCACAGGCCGATGCTCTATCCACTGAGCCAAACCAGCCAGGGCTAGAGCTCCACTTCTGAACCCTGAGCCACACTCCTGCTGCTGCACAGGTAAATCCTGCCTGTTTGTAACCCGGGACTTACTTCCAAAGCTGCCGAAAGGCCCAGAGGCCTTCAAGTTGCATGGCCCTGCTGCTCACTCCCCAGAGACCCTGAGGTGAGCTGCCGCCCAGCAGGCAGTGCGGTCCCCCTGGGCCGTAGTGACTCACCCGTCTATGATGAGCTGGTCGTAGGGGGCTGGCTTGTCGCACACCGGGCACATCCAGGTAGGCTTCTTCTCGTTCATCTGGAGGTAGAAGACAGCGTCGAAGCACTGCAGGTGAGCGCAGGTCTCTGCCCGGCAGGGCACGGACAGCCGCATCTTCACCAGCTGCGGGGAGAGGGGGGGTGAGCAGGCCTCCAGGCAGCCCCACATAATGCACAGGTAGGTGAGTGAGGGGACCACCGCACTGACTCACTGGGCAGATGAGGGAGACCCGCACGCCGGTGGTGGCAATCTCACTGTCAGGGTCCAGGCGAAGCTTCTCTTTGACTGTGGAGAAGGGGCAGCAGTGTTAGTGGGGAAGGGGCAGAGGTGCCCGCAGGGCCAGGCCAGGAGGCAAGCTGGGCAGCAGCCACGGTTATTTCTGACAACTTGGTGCACCATTAGGCAAACCAACAGGACTTTTCTGGAAAGATCCAGGCAACACACAGCTACCAAAAGAGCTACCTGTGTGCCTTGTTAATTCTGATGAAAACCATCCCTGAAGCTTGGTGGGGAGGCAGGGCCCCTACTTCAAGACTGCCCACTAGGGAGCACCGAAATCCCCGAGCAGGAGCGCTCACCATGGGCCCCGCAAGGGTAGGAGCAACCTACCAGCAGCTTCCCTTCCACAACCAAATGTTACTTCTCTAGTAAAGGAAAGATGGCGACGGCACCAAAAAGTCAGACACGACATGGAAACGTGCTCTCGTAGCACCCAAAGCCCTCATCTGACTGTGCTGGGAAAAAGGCTGAAGGAAAAGCACCTAGTGCAGCCCTGGGACCAGTCTCCCAACTTTCCTTTTCCTGCATGTTCTGCTTTCTTCTCTTTTTTTTAAAAAAAAAAAAAAATTTTTATTGACTTCAGAGAAGGAGATGGAGAGAGAGAAACATCACCTCAGAGGGAGTGTAGGGGAGAGTGGGAATAAAAGGGAGAGATCAACCAAAGGACTTGTGCGCATACATATGAGCCTAACCAGTGGTCAAGGACAACAGGGGGGTGGGAGCATGCGTGGGGAACAGTGGGGGATGGGAATGGGGAGAGGGATGAGGACAAATATGTGATACCTTAATCAATAAATTTTTTTAAAAAGAGAAACATCAATGATGAGAGAATCATTAATTGGCTGCCTCCTGCATGTCCCCAACTGCGGATCGAGCCCACAACCTGGGCATGTGCCCCTGACTGGAATTGAACCCTTTAGTCCGTAGTCTGAGGTTCTATCCACTGAGCCACACCAGCCAGAGCTGCATGTTCTGCTTTCGAAGCCAGGAAGTTAAACTTCATCCCCAGATGTCTCAGGGCAAACAAACACTGGGTCTTGCAGAGTGGATGCCAGCCTGCTTGAAGCCAGAACTGTGCCTAACAGGCTGCAGTCTCCAGGAAGCCCCCTTTTCCCTCTCACAATCACACCTCAGTATAAATTTCCATTCCATGGTTCCCTTCTCTGCCTAACAAGTACTAACAGTGGACCCAGAGGCCTTGGCTCATCGACATGACCCTGGGAAGCTAAGAATGGATGCAGTATCACTGATTTTTTAAAATTTTTATTACTTTTCCATCACCATGACCATCCCCCCTTTTTTTTAAAAAAAAAAAAATGATTTTAGAGAGGTGGGGTAAAGAGAGAAGTAGAGAAAGAGGGAAGAGAAGAGAGAAAGAAAAAAACAAATTTGTTGTCCATTTATTTATGCATTCATCGATTGCTTTTTGTATGTACCCTGACCAGAGACTGAACCTTGGCATATTGGGACCCTCTAACTTTAATTAAACTGAGCCTCCACCGGACTGCGCTAAGTTTTGAAGCAAGGCCTCACTTTTCCCGACAGAGAGAAGGCATGTGCATCGGGAAGGGTTCAAGTGAGACAAAAAATAGGACTTCCCAGTTGTCACTACAAGTTCTATTGGTGATGATGCCTACCTTAGGGCTGGCCAGGGCTTCCTTCAGCAAAAATCTAACAGTCCATCCTACCAGGGGTCCAGGTGTCACAGACACTCCTCCAGCCCACAATTCACGAGGCCCTGACTCCTCACTGAGGAGTCAAGCCAGCCTCTATTTGCCCCACGCTCCATCCTGTGGGCTGCCGGCGCCCGGATGAGCCAGTCCCCACGCTGAACTGTCCCTGCCAACAGGCACTCGGGTCCGATTGGCCATGTCTCCATAGGAGGGAGGCAGGTGGGACTGGGGTGAAGAAAGGGCCCACTGAGGGAAGGGGGAGGCAGCAGGGTGGGGTACATAGATTCAGGCCCCGGGGTCACAGGGCCGTAACTCCGCCACTCTGCACCTCAGTGACCCCACTGGTCAGATGGCATCAGAAAGCATCTCAGAGATCAGAAAGAGCCAGTGAGCTGACCACACAGCTTCCAAGTGGAGGAATTCCTGAGCACAGCTGTGGTGTAGGGACACAGGAAGAGACAGAACCAGTTTTAGGTTTTGTCTATCACTTTTGATGGCATGTTTTGTTGGTTTTTTAAATGCTGTGACTCCCACACACACATTTTTTTATTGTAAAAAGGAAAAAAAAACGGTCTTACCATTTCTAATCAGACATGGGTCATCCCCTATGCACCTTCAACCATGAATCCAGCTTCTGCTTCCTCTCCGTGCTCCTGGCCCCACCCGCCCATTCCCTGCACTGCAGCCATCAGGCCAGACCCATCACCTGAGGCCTTCCTCTCCTCCACGCCTGCAAGGCTCCATACAAGCCCCACATGCTCAGCGCATCCCCCCCTTACCTCACCCCGGCTCACTCGGAGTCTGTGAGCACACCTTGCCTGTCCTTGCCTCCGGCCTCTGCACTGACAGTGCAGCATCCTCTAGAGGCCTCCGAGTTCCCTGGCCCCAAGGGTGTTGTATGGACCCTGGAAGGTCCAGGTTCCTGACGGGGCACCCCCTGCAGACAAGCTCCTCACGTCCAGCAAAGGGAGGGTAAGCAGTAACAGCCAAACCCACACTCAGTCACCTAGGGGGAGGCACTGCAGTGCTCACCCAGGGCCTTGCACAGCTCCGGATGCTTGACCCCGATGGTTTTCAACCTCTGCAGCAGCTCTGAGGAGGTCAGTTGCCGCACCAAATATAAGGCCACCGAGTAACTCTGAGGATAGAGAAGGGAAGGGTGTTAGGGCTGGGTGGGCCAGGAAGGGTGAGCAGAGGTAGCACAGGGATGGCAGGGCTGATGGGGCGAGCAAGTGGGCAGTACCCACCCCACTCACCTTGCCATAGTTTCCCCAGGTGACGGTGATGCGGTTGGTGGCCGAGGACAGGTACATGAGGTGAGTGAGGTTGATGGGGCGGCAGGGCCTTTTGGGCTCCACTCCAGGCTTATTCGAGGGGTAGTAGCCCTGGGAACAGATGGAGGCTCAGCCACTGTAGATGGTCTGTGTCCCTGCCCTTCCCTCCATGCTCGCCATCCCAACAACAGATCGGGAGCTGCCCATGGACCCTGCTCACCGGGACTGAGCAGTAGCTGTGGTTGACCTTCACAGCAATGTTGGGTGGGTACTGGTCCTCCTGAGGGCTGCTGGTGTCTGAGTAACAGATTCTGCAATGACAGTGGGTACCAGGGGGCTGAGGGCAGGGAAAGGGCCCTCGGGAGAGGCAAGAATGACAGACTGGGCTGCGTCTGGCCTGATGGGTAGATCTCAATGCTGGGCTGCACACGGGGCTCTCAGGGTCCGTCTGGCTTGAGTAGGGGATGGGTAGTGGTATGCCCACAGCCAAGGACAGCCAGTAGGAAGACGAAACAGGCTCTACCTCTAGCTGGGAGCCTCAGAAGGGCTGTCGTGAGCAAGGGGGACCTAGCTTCAATGCACCTGGGGTGGGACATGGCAGGGCTGTAGCCACCCAAGGCGGAAATAGCCAAGGATTCCCTCGGGGAGCTGGCACACCTGGGCTTACCTTAGGACGACCTGCACGGCCTTGACCCCAGGCTGCAGTTCTCTGTGCCCCAAGGAAACCACAGGGAAGGAGAGGAAAGGAGGGGTCAGTGAGGTGGGAGTGCACCTGGTACACGACGCCAACCCTTCAGTTGGGTGACCACTGGCCTCTCCTGGGCAAACCAGGCAGCCTAACCCACTAACTCCCTTGGAATCAAAGACCAATAGATACCACCTCGAATGTTCTCTCCTGCCATTTACTCACTGGTGACGTGGGGCAGTGACTTCCCCTCTCTGGACAATGGGGGGCTGGTGTGGATATTTAGTAGGTTGGTGGGTGCTGAGTGCCCCAACAAGCGGCTGCTCCAGTGGTGATTGCTGTCTCAGCTGGAGATGGAGTCTCAGAGAGCAGGGTCAGAAACCTGGGGACAGCCCAGCATCCTTACCTGGGCGACTCTGCCCCAGGGGACACTGGCTATGTCTGGGACTGTGGTCATAATGACTGGGGGTGCTCCTGGCACCGAGAGGATGGAGGCCAGGGACACTGCTCAACACCCTACAGTGCCAGGATGGCCTCCCTCGGAGAATGACCTGGCCCTGACGTCAACAATGCTAAGGGGGACAGACCTTGTTAAAGGGAGACACTGGCACTCCCTTGGGCTGCTGATTGTGCACACAGATTGGAATGGGGGTGAGAGTGCAGGTTCTGCATCATATCTGGCTGAAAGCTCTCCTAGGCCAGCTGAGACCACACCCACCCACCATCCAGCCATGGAGGTCAGCAGAGGGTGGGCCCAGAGCACCTGGAGTTCCTTATCAGTTCCACCTGTCTGGGCGTCAACGCAAAGATGCACGGGCTCTCTTGAAGCTTCTCGTTATTCTGTGGAACTAAACACAAACATGGGATCAGGGTCATGTGTGGTCCCCAACAAGGGTGCCAACCATGATCACGGTCATTTCTACTGCTTGGCCCTCTTCAAGCTGGGAAGCAGGAAATGGGAGACTGACTCCTACTAGGCAGGGATGAGGGTGAGAGGGAACTTCCTCTTTCTTGGGGCCAAACCTCAGCCTATGGTCCAGGGAATATTTACCACTCACCCACCCCATCTCCCCACCAAGGGTCACTCTCAGAGCAGTAGCTTTATCATCCCTGTGGAGTTCAGGTGTCTTTTCAGGAAAACTGTTAACTGCTACTCCAGGGGAGAGTAGCAGAGAGCTGCTACTGGGAGGATGCAGCACAGACAGGCCACGTACCCTTGAGCCAGGATGCTCTCTTCAGGCCTGTAAGACACCAGCAACAACTCTGTCCCCACCTCAAACAGCTGTTCTGGCACATTTGGTGAGCACGTGCCCATCAGCACACACACTCTCACACATACAGGAGAAACGCTCACAGCCATACATTACTCAGAATGGTTTCTATCAGCAGAAAACTGTTAACCACCTGATTGCCAGCCAACAGAGTCTGGTTAAGACATGCTACAGGAGGTCTCATACAAAGGAATACTATGCACCTGGGAGGATCAAGAAGTTCTTTGTATTCTAATACGGAGTAATCTCCAAGCGTTCTGGTCACCTGAAAGTAGCAGATGCAGAGCCTGTGTTTATCATGCTGCTACTTGTGCAACCACATGGAGGAAAGGGGTCTGTGCAAGTGCACATTGGCTTATTTGTGCAAGAGCTGTCTCTGGGGGAGGGGGTGTGAAAACTGGCCACAATCAAGCCTCAGAGGATGGGGGGAGGTAGGAGGGAGCTTTTAAAATGTATACTGCAAACCCTTTAGAACAGGAGTGGGCAGACTGTTCTATAAAGAGCTGGAGTATAAATATTTTTGGCTTTTTTGAGCCACAAGGTCTCTGCCTTGATGTCCTCACTCTGCCTTGTACCAAGGAAGCTGCCAGAGACAGTAAGTGTTCACATGGGTGTGGCCGTGCACCAATAGAACTGGTTTAGGAAAACAGGCAGACAGTGGGGCTGGCCCCACCCTAATTGGCCAACCCTTGTCTTAGAACCTTCTGAATTCCAAACCACAACAGGTAATCTATTTAAGCAAATGTGATTCAAACTTAAAACCAGCTCCAGCTTAGAAGCCAGACTGCCTGAGTTTATACCCTAGATCTGTGAGGGGCCACGTACCCCTATCCTGGTCCAAGTCTAGGTGCCCTCCATGCATAGGATTCACCTCTCGGAGTGCACAGCCAAGTCTATAGCTGGTATGGAGGATAGAGGCGGCTGCTGCAGCTGCCACATACTGCCCATTCATGCTTGTTTGTTGAGGACCCTGCTGGTCCTTTCAGAGTCCTGGCTGGGGTCCTGAGAAGGTCATCTAATTGGTTATGGGGACATTGGTAGGCCACCTGCAGACACCTCAGTCAGGACTGCCCAAAGAGCCCAGGGGCATGTGGAGGCTTCAGATTATTTGGGCTGTCAAGACTGGGTGGGGGTCAAAGTGACCCCCAGGGAGAAGATACCACCCCACTTCATAGTGACCCCCAGGGAGAAAGGGAAAAGGACCCCAGCAGGCTTCTTGGGAGCCACACACTCACTGGCCAGGCGCTCTGCCAGCAGCAACAGTCTAAGAAAGGTGGGCAAGCCTGGCCAGTGTGGCTTAGAGGTTTAACATCAACCCAGGAACCAAGAGCCAAGAGTTCTCTAGTTCGATTCCTATGAGGTCACATGCCCGGGTTGCGGGCTTGATCCCCAGTAGGGGTTGTGCGGAGGCAGCCAATCAATGTTTCTATCTCTCTATCTCTCTCTTCCTCTCTAAAACATTCTTTTTTTTTTTTTTTAATATATTTTATTGACGCCGAGACCGGTTTGGCTCAGTGGATAGAGCGTCGGCTTGGGGACTGAAGGGTCCCGGGTTCGATTCCGGTCAAGGGCATGTACCTTGGTTGCGGGCACATCCCCAGTAGGGGGTGTGCAAGAGGCAGCTGATCGATGACTCTCTCTCATCGATGTTTCTAATTCTGTATCTCTCTCCCTTCCTCTCTGTACAAAATCAATAAAATATATTTTTAAATATATTTTATTGATTTTTCACAGAGAGGAAGAGAGAGGGATAGAGAGTTAGAAACATCGATGAGAGAGTCATCGACCAGCTGCCTCCTGCACACCCCCCACTGGAGATGTGCCCGCAACCAAGGTACATGCCCTTGACCAGAATCGAATGCTCTATCTCCACTGAGCCAAACCGGTGCCGGAGCTAAAACATTCTTTAAGAAAGGTTGAGGGGTGAAAAGGCGAAGGGATCCCGGCCTTGGGTGCAGTGGCCTGACGGGGGAGCAAATCCAGACAGTGCTCTGTTTCTGAGGCTGGAAATACTGTTCACTATTAAGGTGTCCCCCCAGTCCAGTAAAGCCCAAAGGCCTTCACCATAGACTTCCAACATCGCCGGGGGGGGGGGGGGGCCCCCCCCGCAAGACCGGGAGTGGGGGCGTGGCTTCCTCCTCTGAGAGCAACAGGGACCAGCGGGAGCGCCTCCGGCAGCTGGCCCTGGAGACCATCGACATCAACAAGGACCCTTATTTCATGAAGAACCACCTGGGCTCATATGAATGCAAGCTGTGCCTGACACTCCACAACAATGAGGGGAGCTACCTCACGCACACCCAGGGGCAAAAGCACCAGACCAACTTGGCCCGGTGAGCAGCCAAAGAGGCTAAGGAGGCCCCCGCCCAGCCAGCACCAGAGAAGGTAGAAGTGAAGAAGTTTGTGAAGATCTGCCGCCCGGGCTATAAAGTGACCAAGCAGAGGGACACAGAGATGGGCCAGCAGAGCCTCCTCTTCCAGATCGACTATCCTGAGATCGCTGACAGTATCATGCCACACCACCGCTTCATGTCTGCCTACGAGCAGAGGATCGAGCCCCCAGACAGGCACTGGCAGTACCTGCTGATGGCTGCCGAGCCCTACGAGACCATTGCCTTCAAGGTGCCAAGCAGAGAGATTGACAAGGCCGAGGGCAAGTTTTGGACTCACTGGAACAGGGAAACCAAGCAGTCCTTCCTCCAGTTCCACTTTAAGATGGAAAAGCCTCCAGCCCCGCCAAGCCTCCCGGCTGGGCCTCCTAAGGTGAAGCGGCCACCACCCCCACTGATGAATGGCTTGCCCCCTCGGCCACCACTGCCTGAGTCTTTGCCTCCACCCCCACCAGGAGGCCTGCCTATGCCCCCCATGCCACCCAGTGGGCCTACACCTGCAGGGCCCCCGGGCCCTCCCTAGCTGCGCCCCCCCAGCTCCTGGAGTCCACCCTCCAGCACCAGTGGTCCACCCACCAACATCTGGGGTTCACCCTCCAGCTCCTGGGGTCCATCCCCCAGCACCGGTGGTCCACCCACCAACATCTGGGGTTCATCCCCCTGCTCCCGGGGTTCACCCAGCCCCAGGAGTCCATCCTCCAGCCCCAGGTGTCCACCCTCCCCCATCTGCTGGAGTTCACCCCCAGACCCCAGGGGTACACCCACAAGCTTCTTCAGTCCACCCCCAGGTCCCTTGGGTACACCCCCCAGCCACCTGGGGTACACCCCCCTCCTCCAGGGGCTCATCTCAAGCTCCTGGGATTCACCCCCAGCCTCCTGGAGTTCATCCCTCCAATCCCGGGGCCCATCCCCCAGCTCCCATGCCCCCAATGATGAGACCCCCACTGCCCTCCGAGGGCCCTGGAAACATTCCACCCCCTCCCCCAGCCAACTGAAAAGCCACCCCCTCTCCCAGGTCTACTTTCCTGTTTCCCTATCTCTCCTCCCCGATCGAGTTTGGTGTTTGTACAGGCTGTGCCGTGTCCCTAGATCTCATTAAACAGCCTTCTCAGAAAAATAAAAAGAAAGAAAGGTTGACAAGCTAGTGGTGGAAGGACCAGAACCCAGGATCCCTTTCCTAGAATGGCTCCTATTTCTAGGTGAGGCTACTGGGAGGACTCTGAATCTAATTTTAAAAATATATATTTTATTGATTTTTTTTACAGAGAGGAAGGGAGAGAGAGAGAGCTAGAAACGTCGATGAGAAAGAAACATCGACCAGCTGCCTCCTGCACACCCCCGACCAGGGATGTGCCCGCAACCAATGTACATTCCCCTGACCAGAATCGAACCTGGGACCCTTCAGTCCGCAGACCGACACTCTATCCACTGAGCCAAACCGGTTTTGGCTGAATCTAATTTTCTGCTGTGTCATTGGCCTGGGGTGGCTGACTGCTCCCCTAGGAAGCCAGGTGGCTGGCGGGAGGTGAGCTGCCACCTCAGCTGGGACAAGGCATACTTTACACCACCATCAGGAGGGGCTGAGGATTCTCCAAAACCAGGCCTTCACCAGTTCCACCTTCAGCTGTTCAGGGCTGAGATGTAGACATCATCCATGACTCTTGTCACATCCCCTCCCCCATCAACTCCTCAGCCAGTCCTATTGGCACTCAGTGCCTCAGTGCTCTCCTCTCCCCACCACCACTGCCCGTTCGGATCAGTGCAAATACCACTTGCTGGTATCCAGGCTCCCAGGGCTCACTGTCTGCTGCAAACAGCCTCGGGATGATCTGTCCAGCTCTGTAGCCATAATTCCACAGCAGCTACCCTGGCTTCCTCCTATGCTCCCTATCTGTCAAATACATCCCCTCTTGAGGTCTTTGCATGTACCACCCCCTCTTCTAGCTAGATCATTACTCCCTCAATGATCTTTTAAATTTGTGAAAATGCACTGGGAAGAAAGCGTTCCCCAAGCACCTTTATTTAAAAACTGTACCAAGCCCTAACTGGTTTGGCTCAGTGGATAGACTGTTGGCCTGTGGACTAAAGGGTGCCAGGTTCGATTCCCGTCAAGGGCATGTAACTTGGTTGCAGGCACATCCTCAGCAGGAGGTGTGCAGGAAGCAGCTCTATCCCTCTCTCTTCCTC